GTCGCGACTGCTGCGGCCCACGTGAGGGCAAAGGCAATACCAGCTTCTTTGGTGAATTCGGGCATTCTTCTAGTTTGATGGAGGTGCGCCCGAGACGGTGAGTTGAGGAATGGTACAAAGAGCCCAGTGCGCGAGGATACGATTTTTCTCTTCATCGAACCACGCTGAAATGAATGGGCTGCTTATGCCGGCGAGTGCACTGGTCCGATCCCCAAGATGTCTTATGGAGACGTATCTGTCTTGATGCAACTTCTCAAACTTGATCTCCTCTTGAATGGGATACATTAGGCATATGAATTTGTCGCGATATAGACCTAAGAGGTCGCATGTAGGACCTGTAAAAGCATTTTATTGTGCATGGTTTTGTACCTCTGTAAATACATACCCTTTTTAGATACATAATGTATCTTTGTACAGTACGACATCAATGGGCTACCGGGAGGTCCAAGAGGAAGGCAAATGTTGAAAGTTGAAGTCGGTGCGGGCCAATGAGAAATCGTGCGACCCTGGATTGGTCCAATGCAACGCGCGAAGGATGCAATGGATAACGGTAATTTGGAAGCCTGCGCTTGACGCGGAGAGCTGGCGAAGCACACTTTATCGGGCCGGAGCGCGTTGCCTCAAGAAAAATAATGGGTCTCGTACTTGGGTGTACTAGTACATTGACCCATGACTAGAATCTTATTGGGTGCACTAGTATCTTGCTTCAACGAGCACGTCGCTCACTTCAGAGGAGCTTATAGCAAGCATCCCCTTGGGACCGCGACGGTATCCCCTCGCCACCGATGAGCGAGAGGTGCACACCTAGGTGTTGGCCAACTAGTAGCCCGTCGGTTTGCATACCGTCCCGTGGGCTTTGATCGAACTGGCTTGTTAATAATGACCATACATTCTTGGCTAACCTTCAACATTTGGCCTATACAATATAGCTCCTGCACGGTACGTCGTCGCCTTCTTGACGTCACAAAGGCGAGCCTCGCCCCGCTACAGCTCCTGCTATTCGGAACACCCACCACTTTGTGACCTCGAACCTTGCTTGCATCTACTAAGTAGTACTCTGGTCGTCCAGCGCGGCTGCCCGTTGATGTTGAAGTTGGTCTTTTCGGACACAATTCGCACTGGACGGATGCGGGTGGAGACACTCCGCTTAAAACGTGATGAGGCTGCAGCGCGAATCGCGTGGCCAGAAAGGATGATGGGATTGCGACGTGACGCAGAACGTTTATATTAAAACGAGACACCTCTAGCGGGTGTTTCGTACCGTGTAGCAATCAGCTCAGGTGCCGCCAACCGCCAACTCACCAGTTAAAGTACGCGGTCAAAAGTACCTTGATATTGGGTGTTGACGCTCGTGGGTTGGGCGACAAAGTGCCGCGTCAAGTATTGAAACGGCCGACGTTGCTACCGTCTCCATGTTTTAGACATCGCTATTCAGGGCCGAGATCCACAAACGCTCTTGTACACCGCTCCAGATCCCTGCAGTGAGCTCCAGGTGGTCGATATGCTGTTCGTTCTGGCGCTCGAACCGTGCAAAAGTGGACACCTCGACGGCTGCAATCAATGCACATGCGCATGATGCGTCAAAGTCCTCGTTCGGCATGGGACAGTGCTCGCAGTGCTCTTCTTGAGCTACTGCGCACAGCCGCGGCATTGCGCATGCACATCACGTTCCTCGAACGAGCTGGTGGATTTTGAAGTCGCCAACTGCTTCATATCACATCATTCATGTGGTCCAGAAGTATGCAGATCGGTTCGAGCTCCTGTCGCACCAAACACGACTTCCAGAAAATTTGCGCATTGTGCGTTAGGCGATGCTCAAGAACCGGTGAATGCGCCGATGAAAATTTTCTTGCCTGAAGATCGACGCTGCCTCACCAAGTTTATTGACGTCACCTCGAATGCCACCGATGAGGTGGGCACTTCGAACCCAGCGCCGGCCGAATTATACCCCGCAGCATTCTTCATCTCTATTATCGTCGACGCGATCCTGCGATTGGGATTCGAATTATGGTCCTTGCGAGTTTTGGTCCACGAATGCCACAGACACGGTGGCTCCTTCCGGCAACAACTCGTTGCAACACAAATCAACGGTCTCTTTTAATTTGTTAGTTGGTTCCGCGCTTTTCGCCTTGTAGGTCTTGCGTGCAACCGTTTCAACGCCTGTGACGCAAACGATTGCGCCGGGGCTGCACTTATGCGATACGGCGTGGACCAAGTAGATTGTGCCGGCGTAGTCCACCCACCCGTATGCGTCATGACCATCATTCGACTCAGATTGGTAATCAACGGTCACCAAAGAAGCAATATATGGACTAGTTGTATC